ACCCAAAACACTAACAATACCAAACGCTGGCGAGGTTGAGAAGCAACAAGAACTCTCATTTGTTGTTGGTGGGAATGCAAAATGGTACAGACACTTTAGAAGACAGTCTGACAGCTTCTTACGAAACTAAACACAGGCTTGTCGTAAGATCCAGCAATGGCACTCCTAGTTTGTTTATCCAAACGAGGTGAAAACTTATGTCCACACAAAAACCCGCACAAAAATGTTTACAGCAGTTCTACTCATAATGGCCAAAAATTGGAAACAACCGAGATGTCCTTCAATAGATGAACGGATAACCAGACAGTGAAACATCCATAAAATAGACTATTATTCAGCAATAAAAAGAAATGAGCTATTACACCATGAAAAGTGATGAAGGAACATTCAGTGCACGTTGCTAAGTGAAGGAAGCCAGTCTGAAAAGGCTACGGACGGTAGGCTCCCAACTCTACAGCATCCTGGAAAACCCAAAACCATAGAGACAGTAAAAGGATCAGTAGTTTCCAGGGACTCAGGGGCAGGAGGGGAGGCACGAATAGGTGGCACACAGGACATTTTTAGGGCAGTGAAAATTGTTCTGCATGATACTGTAGGCATGGAGATTTGTGAAAACCCAAAGGACTCTACAACAGAGTGTACTCGAAGTAAACTATGAACTCAATTAACAATATGGATACTAGTTCATCAGCTGTAACAAACGTACTAAAAATCTATAGAGGTGTACAACAAAGTGAACCCTCACTCTGAACTTCAGTTAATAACAGTTATCAATATTGGCTCCTCAAGTGTGACAAATGTACCACATCAATGCATGATGGTAATAACAGAGGAAACTGGGGCAGGGAGAGAGGGAGTTCATGGCAACTCTTTGTACTTACTGCCCATTTTTTCTGTAAACCTAAAACTGCTCTAAAAAATATATTAATGCAAAAAAAGGAATATTTTAAAAATCAAGAATTAAAGAACGAGATTAAAAAAAAATTGGAAATTGCCAAGCACTAGAGATAAGCAAAGAAGAATCAACATGGAGACTGAGACGCAGGCTAAAAACTGTAATTCAAGAATGTTTTCCTGAAAAAAAAAAAAAAAAAAAAAAAGATTTGAAACTTTATATTGGAAGAGCACACCATTATCGCTGAGAATATCAACTCAGAAAAGTCAATAGCCAAGATGTGTTCCAGTAAAATGACACAGCTTTATAAAGGAAAAAAAAAAAAACAGTCCTTTGGGCTCAGAAGCAAAAGGAGCATATGATTTACAAAGGAAATAAAACTGTTATCAGACTTTTGACGGCAATGCTTTCTGTCAGGAGAAAATGGAGTGACATACTTAAAACACTCCAGGAAAGCCATGTGAGCCAAAGATTTTATATCCAACAAAGCTGACATTCAAGCAGAAAGGAAACAAACAAAAACATCAACCTGCCGGAGCAGGGGCCCTTCCTGAGGTGCTAAAGGGACCGGGAAGACACAAGACAGACTGGTGGCCAGCATCAGAGCTCCTTGGAGCACTGAGACTCACTAGGGGCACCGGGGAGATGACAATGGCTGTATGACGGTGGAGACCTAGAACAATCAGAAAAAGTGATGGCGAGAGTGTGGCCTGTATACAGAGCACAACTGGAAACAGTGTTCATCATCACAGTTGGTGGTGAGATGGGTGTTGACATTCTGAGGGTGTCATGTGTGGAAAGCAGGACAAGGCAAATGAGTCATCACAGGACATTTGGCTTCTGTCCTCCCGTGTCCTAGAGAACCAGCACCCCTGGGGTGGAAGAGAAAGCAACACAGATGTAACCCAGAAGAGGTTAGGGCAAAACGCCGCAGTCCTCCGTCTGAATCGGAAATATCAGTACGAACTCACGCAGTATTTCACCATTAAAAATACCGGTATGTGCAAATAGTTTTGTATATAATTGCACACAAACATGTACACATGTGTGTCCATGCATATGTATGTCTCCACCTAGATTTCCCAGTTCTGTCTGCTGGAAAGACCTGGAAACAAGGACCAACCTGGCACCCGGAGTGTGGGTCCTGGGACACTGTGTCCCACTAAAAGGAAGCAGGGCCTCTCAGAGAGCTGGTGGAGTCCAGGCCTGGGGCAGGGAACACGTGGGTGAGCACGAGGCACCCTGACCACCAAGACAGCAAGGAAGCCACTGAAGATCATGGGTCACGTGGAAGGGACTCAGGAGCCAGTGTGAAAAGGCTCCCACTGGGCAAAGGCGGGACAACTGAGCTTCGTTAAGGGCCAGAACTGCAGTGAGGTGAAACCCATACGATATATTTAAATCCACGAGTTCGTAAGTGCACTCATTTTTTTTAAAGCTAATTCTTCACCGGATGACAGGAAACCGGCTCACTGTCCTGGAAGCTAAGCAAACAAAACCACCCGAAGCTTTCCCTGCCTTTTCCGTAGGCGCTGTGCCCCACTGGGTACTCAAGACATAGCTGCGGACAAACGGCTCTTCATAGAATTCCAGCTGATAAATGAAAATGAACTGACAGGATTAAAATATCTCCACTCTGCAACCCCAATGAGTTGGTGGAGCCAGGTGCTGAGCACCAACAGCTGCTGATATCACAAAAGAGCACAAGTGGCCCTCACACGCTCCTGACGGCAGAACACACCCAAGTCCTGCCAGGGACGGGGCAGGGTCTGCTAGCCCGCGGTCTCAGAGGGCTGGACAGCAGCACAGGGCGCGGCCGCACGTGTCAAAGGCCCAGCCCTTCCACAGACGTCGGCGTGAAGGTGGGGCGAGCAGACAGCAAGATTCAGACACACCCGGTTTTACAAACGGGCAAGATTAAATGAAAGTACTTGCACCACAGTCACACTCAGGCGGCAAAGCCACAAAAAATGCAAGGATGTTGTAAAAGCAGGGACAGCGGTTACTTCTGGAGGAGGGAGAAGGCTGTGTGGGGCTGACGCACTGGGAGAGACTTCCGGAGTGGTTGGCAAAGTTGTATTTTTCATCTGAGTGGTGACTACCAGAGTGTTTGCTTTTTAATTTGCTAAGCTATGTTTGTTCCCTGTACCTGATTCTATTTTACAATAGCAAGGTAAATATAAAAAACGTGCTGAGTGCTTACTACGTGTCAGGCGCTGTTGTAAGTTCCTCGTATGTATTAACACACTCCACCCTTTCAACAACCGAGATGCGACTCTCATCTCCATTTCCAGAAAAGACTGAAGTAGAGAGAGACCGAGTTACAACAAACACAGGAAAAGGTGCGCAACCTCACTAGTAATCGAGGGAATACAAGTTAAACAGAGACACCATCTAGGCACGAGAGCTAACGTCTGCCAGCACCAAGGCGAGCCAGCACAGAGGAGGACGGGGAGCCGGACGAGGAAAACCTGAAAAGCGCGTGCCTTCTCCACCAAGTCTACGTGCAAAAGAAATTCTTACCATGCAAAAGGAGACATGAACTAGCGTGTCTGTAACAGGTAAAAACTGGAAACCATTAGAAAGGCAGAGAATAAATAAAACGTGGCCTTTTCATAGGAGGGACTACAACGCTGCAGTTAGAATAAGTGGGGTAGTTCTATAAGGATCGACACGGATGTCCCTCAAAAACATGCTAAGGGAAAAAAACAAGTTCCAAAATGAATCATACTGTGTGATACCCTTTAATCAAAAATGAAACACAAATGTATACTACTTACAGATACACACACGTCTGTAAGGAATTAAAACACACACTTCAAATTTGTGAAAACAGGAATCTGCAGGAGGGGGGAACGTGACAGTGTGGGGGTCAAAAGGTACTTCGTTATCTATTTTATTTCTTTTACTTTTAAAAATCCAAAGCAAATTCAAGAAAATAACCTATTGGCCCTGGGTGGTGGCAAGGTGGGGGTTCATAAGATGCTTCAGCCCAGCTCCATTCCTTCTGAGCTTTCGCCTGTGAAATGGAGCCGTGTGGATTACAGAGCTAACGTGCTGGCAACTCTTACAACAGCGTGCCTGGCCTAGAGGAAGCGCCACCTGGAAGTGTTTGCCCTCATCATCCTCCTGGGACACCTCATACAGACTCCATGGCGGGAACCTCCAGGAGGACTGAGGGTGGGAGGCCTGCTCTTGCTCGCCAGTTATACAGCTGTGTCCACCGTGAAAACCCTTTGAGGAAATTTATGATTTACACACTGTTCTGGATGCACGCCATCTTTCAATAAACCCTGCAGAGAAAGAAGGAAAGGAGAACTTTGCCAAATAAGATTTTGGGCCCCAAAGAAGTCTATAAGGCGATACGTGTTCAAAGAACAAGGGTTAGTTACCCTGGACTGTTGGCTAAAAAGAGGAAGTTATCGACTAGAAGTGTCAGTAAATGTTCCTTCCAAAGACAGTAAAGAGGAATAAAAACAAAGTTATGTAATGAAGAAAAAAAGATATCATGGCAACAACTGTGGAAATTTGAGCATGATCCAGGTATTACTGTTAAACTTGTTAGATATCACAATGATATGATTTTATTTTGGTAATGGCCTTATCTGATAGAAATACATCCTGCAATACTTACAGATTAAAAAAAAAAAAAACAGTAATTCTTGGAATATACTTTAAAACGTTTAAAGGTAGGAAAAACAGAACAAGATTGGCAAAACGCTGACAACTGACGAAGCTGGACGACAGGGCCGGTGCAGCATGATCTTACCCTCTCTGATTTTGTGCGTGTTTGAAATTTTCCATCACACAAGTAAATGTAAAGTTTCATTCTGAAGAATACAACTGATGATAGACTGGAGATCTATCCTTTTCAATATAAGCCCTTCTGTCCATCTTGCTTCACCCCAGTAAAATCGAAGCAGACATCTAACCAAGGACACTTCTGTGGGAATTTTACCATCCCACAGATCTCTCTCTGTCAGCAAATCGGCTGGATCATGGACAACAAAACTCCACAGCACAGACAGGGCCAGTCGGGACCCTGTTGCTGTCTGCATGCCCCTCACACCCCTAACTGTTGGGGCCCCGGAACAAAGGGCTTTACCTGCAGTTCTCCTTGAAGCGGCACTTCCCCTCCAGGAAGAATGGGCAGGGCTTCAAGGACTTGTGTGTAGGGTAGAGGTACAGCACCCGGACAGCAGCCGAGCCATCCTCTGCCTGTTCTGTGCCCACAATCATGGCATTGTGGTACTCCAGGGTGCCCCATGAGCTGTAGTAGGGGGCGTTCACCTTTGTCCCACTCAACTCTTCCTCGTCGTCCTCCTCCCCCTCTTCTTCCTCCTGCTGGGGGATGCTGGGTTCAGGCCCTACCTCTTCTTTAGAAACAGTCTCCAATTCTGCCTCTGTGGCTGCTGGTACCTCCACTACCTCAGAGATGGCCTTCTGGAAAGCCAGATACTCGGTATCTTCCTGGGCCGGGTGCTCTTGGTCCAGCGTGGCCAGGAGTTTGCTCTTCCTGACAGACACCAAGCTGGCTTCAGTGAGTTCGATCAGCTCCTTCAGGTCCCCCTGCAGCTGGTGCAGGTCGGCCTGCTCTGATGCCTCCAGGCCAGCGCCCAGGGCCAGCTCCACTTGCTGCAGCTGCACATGGTAGGTCTGCAGGGCCGTCTCCAAGCTCTCCTCGTCCATCCTGCGGTTGGGGAGGCAGAGGTGGGTCCCTGGGTCCTCAGAAAGGAGGCTGTGGGAGCCGGAGCTGCAATGAGAAGGCAGATGAACCCCGAAGCCTGCCGCCTTCACCCTGAAGCCACCCTGTAAGGCTGACGCCGACTGAGCACCGGTTCGGCCATGCCCTGTGCAGAGCCTTACTCACACGGCCTCACGAAACCTTAGACAGCCAGCGGAGCAGCTCGGCGATTTCTCCCGCTGAAAGATGAGAACACCGGCGCCTGCCTAAGGCATACGGCCCCCCGGGAAGGGGGAGAGCCAGAACTGGACCCCATCTGATGGCCCCACAACCTGAGTTCCGCCGACTAAGTGCCACACTTCCCTCCCAGCGCCTCCCTGGGATCGTATGTCGGGCTTGACTAGGGCTCTCCCTGTGCTGTCTGAGCTCGCGGCTCCCTAGCAGGTGACCAGGGAAGCCCGCGCCAGCTCCCTCAGACCCGCCCGCGACCCTCGGCCCAGTCGGCCCTCGGAGCCGGCCCCAATGCCCCTTGGACCACCCTGGGCTCCCGTCGGGCCAACTCCTTTTCCCCCGGGACCGCGCCCACCTCCGCGCCACCTCTCACCTCAGGCCCGGGTCCCGTCCTCTCAGACCGCGGTCCCCCCATCGCCCCGCCCGGTTACCCACCCGCCGCCATAGAGCGCCGCCGGCCTCACCGGCTACAGCGGTCGGGCCACCCTCCTTCCGCCCTCGCACCGACCGCCACTTCCTCCCGGGCCCCGCCGCCACCGGAAGTGCGAGGCGCGGGGGCCGCAGGGAAGCGGC